GAAAAAAATTGAACAAAAAAGACATTTTCTATCTATTTCGTCCGATTTTCACATGTACTTACATGTATTATTATTGTGATAAAAATAGTATTTGAAAAATAATTTTTGAAACGTTAAAGATCAAGTTTGGAGAGATGTCTTATGATTATTTATGATTGGAAAAAATATATTCTTAACTTTTCCTTCATTTGCCTAAATATTCAATGAATATGTCACATCCTAACACACAATGTTTTTTAAATTTTCTCATTTTATATTGGTGAGAATTTTGAAAAGATAATAATTTGTGTTTGTATTTTATTTGAAAAGAATTAATTTATATTATAGCAGTCACATTATGTCCAAAAAAGTAACTTGAACAAATAATCTGAAATATATAGTTATTTGTTTTTTTTTTTTTCTAATTGAATATTGAAAAAAGTCTCTTGGGCAACTATTTTGATATATATATAGTGATTTTCTTTTTCTTTTTTTTTTTTTTTGCAGTATTTTAGTGAATATTTTAGAATTTTTTTTTGTTAATGAATGAACCTATACCCAATTATATAGGTGCACTGGCTAAACATATACTCTCGTATAATAGTTTATAAATCGTACAAGAGTCGTAACTCATTTTAGGTTAACCATGTGTGACAAACTCGACCTGACGTCCATTGGCAAGTAGATTCGAACTTAAGTCAATTGACACAAGTTCATTTACTCCGAATCGCATTGCATAATGAATATTTTATACTTAAATCATATTCGAAAGATAGACAATTTAAAAAAAAAAAAAATTAACATAATTCCGTTTTAAGAAGTAGTGGAATAATTTGAAAAAGTTAGCAAACATTACCAAATATAGCTTTCATCCAAAAAGCCTAGACACTTTTTGGTGGCTACAGTCCTAAGAACTAAGGCATAGTTGTACAGTGTTAACCGAATTGAAAAGGACCTAATGTTATCTAATTATGAGGAGTTAGTAATTGTAATTACTCTTTTTTTTTCTTTTTTTTTTTATTATTATTATTTTAAAAAAAAATCATTATTACGATTAGTGATGTTATTTCTCGTCATATATACTGTTAACTCCTTTTCCATGTCTCCAACCGGTACCTAATTTTGTGAATTTAATTAGTTTTAATTTACTCTCTTACTAACATTTTTTTCCCCGTGCAATGTACGGGGTATTATTTCAAAAGTGAAAAAGAATAATCAATTTACTATATAGTGAGAAAATGTAATACACTAATATAGAAAAAAATAATAATGTAATATTATAAATGTTACATATTAAGATTTAACAAAACGAATTTACATCTTTATCTCTTAAGATTTGAGATATATTGATGAAAAATAGGAGATTAGTAATTATTGAAAATTATAGTTAGAAAATTATTAGAGAACAAAAATATTAAAAATAAATAATTATAGATGTGCCATTAAGGGTGTACATGTAAGAAAATTTATAGTTGAGAAGGATAATTATAATTACCCAAACATTAGGGGTTTTTCTGTAATTTGATCTTATCTCAGGGGTAGATGTAATTTACCCCATTATTTATACACTACTATCTTATAGTACTAATCAAATTTAATTAGCCCACCCCCACTGATTTGTAATGTAGGTTAACGAGCTCCAATAATTATATTTGGACAATATACGTTTAAATTTATATAATTTAATTAAAATACACAAAATTTTATTTATTTTTTGCTATTTTTATAACCTTATAGTACATTCGAAAAAATGCATGCAGATTTTGGAAATCTCGAACAAATGCAAATCGATTATATTTACCGGTCGCTTCGCTCTCGACCCTTTGGCTCCTTTCACACGATATTCAAACCCCCATTTTATGCATCACCTACGGTTCGCCTCTCCTCGGAAACGAGCCCTTCTCACAAGCCATTCTCCAACAAAGATGGTCCGGAAATTTCTGCCACATTGTACTTATTCCAAAAATGCCATCGTTATTCGACGAAGTGTCGGATATTATTATTGACGATCAAGAAACGAAGAATACGATGAGTCCATATTGGCCTTTTGGGAGCTATATGTTTATCACGGAAAACGGGGCGATCTGCTTGGATAACGCAACGGCTATTGTGGAGTTTCTTCGCTTGACAATGACTCGTGAGGGTTTCTGTAATAACCCTAATAACTCATGTGTTGTTGAGGATGGTCTCAAGTAC